TTTGTATGTGGTCCACCGGCATAGAGACAAGTATAACAGATAAAAAGTATGACATCTGACAAGTATATGCACCATCTTAATCTAAGGACGACGTCAGCTTGATGCTCCAATAATCAATCAAGACAGGAAACAACATAATTCAGAGCGATAACTAATATACCCTTTTCTACTGTTCAATTGATTAACATGACCTACGAGCACTGCAACATATTTATACCTGTGCAGCTAATCTTGTTCTGACAAGATCTAACGGATAAGTGGCAGCAGCTGCTGTAATTCCAGCCAATCCACCACCAACAAAGTGCACGAAAATATCCGCACCTGCATATCGCCCTTTACCATCCAGACCAGGAATTGATTTCAATATCTGCCAGCATAACAGTTTTCAGAAAAAATTGCAACATGCAAGCTGAAAGAAACATTTTGTGCCGAATGTCATATAGACAAATCTATGTCTTAAGTACTCACAGTCTTGTAGCGTTCATAAGCATAGAAATTGACTGAGGAATAAGGAAGCCTGTGAGCAATAGTGACCAGGTTCCCCTTCCAAAAAGCCCTGAATCCTTCTTCATTGACAATACGCAATGCCTCACGACATATACTGGGCTTGGTCAATACTGCAATATCTGAATGCATACCTTGAACCTACGAATTGAAAACTTCCATTCAGTGAATTGAACAGAATATCAAGGAAAATAATTGTTGCCACATCACTAAAACTACATCTTTGACAAGACAAAGCTTTTAGGTTTTATTACTCATCTTTCACTTAATCATATGTACTTATGGAGTACACTTACTCAAATCTACAGCTAAACGCACATGTAAAATTTCTCATCCTTCGCTACATTATTGCTAATCATATATTTCTCCCCCGCTATCAATACCAAACCATTTGACGAATTCAAATCCTCCATTGGTCCAATTTTAATTTTCTAAGAAAATGACACAACCCAATCTTTAAAGAAAACAAATTTAGAAAAGACACAACCTTTTCAACCCCATATTTCACTAATTACTTAACTATTCAATTGAATCAGCTAACAGTAAAGTCCTTCCAGAGCTCAAGATCTTACCTTTACCAACCCCTTAATTATGTTAAAAGACAGAATGTCAAGCATTCCTCTTTGGAATCATTCTTGTCCTCTAGAAACTCCACTCCCCATCTATCCCATTTCCTTTTTCTGTCTAAATCTTAACTAAGAATGAAGGATCATTCTGTATAACAACACACCCACTATAATCCCACAAGTGCAGGACGCACACCTTACCACTACCTTGTAGAGGTAGAGAGGCTGTTTCAGCTCAAGTTGTACTCCATCATATAAAAACATGAGCTGATTTCTTCTCCCGTGGTATCAGTCGCTAACCCAGCTAACCAGGAAACAGAAAAAGCAAAATAAACTAGGAGGGGGTCAATAAAAGAAGGAATACCTGAAAAAGAATGGTGAGACGGGCAAGGGGAGCAGTACAAGTTTTGCTGAAAGCACCAGCAATGCCACCAGCAAGAAGCTGTGGGACAGTACCAATCTGAGGTTGAGGCTGTGGCTGTTGTTGTTGCTGTTGTGTATGATAATGATGATTTTGTTGAAGATGGTGTTGTTGGGGCTTTTGGGGTTGTTGTAAAAACTTTCTTGCACCACCTTCCACTACACCACCGCCATGTCCAGATACACCTACTCTTGCTTCCATTTCTTTGATCCAATTTTTTATTGTTCAGGTTTACAAATTTTACAATTGAGAAACTGTAAAGAGTTGAATCATCTGATTTTGGTTAAAGGGTTTGAATTTATTTTTTGTAAACAGAGAAAATTGTTACGGAGAATTTTGCTAAACCCTAGGGAAAACCCTAAGGAAGAAGGCTGATTTCAAAGTGGTGTTCTTTGTTTTATGAGAACCAAAACCTTCTGTTGGTGTAATGACTTTTTTCCAAATTTTTTTTTTTGTTGGAGAATATTCTTTTCTTTGATCTCTCTATGCTTCTACTACTTTGTTTGGGCTTTTCTTTTCTGTTGGACTTAAAATAGGCCCATTATAATTTGGGCTACAAAAGTCCAATGATTTATAAATGGGCAACTTTCACATATAGCAAACAAAAAATTCATATTTGTATGCTATAGCAAACTTTGCATAATTGCTCTCCATAGCAAACATAAAACTGTATAATTTGCTATGCATATACAATTGTATAATTCGCTGGCCTAAATTGTATAATTCGCTAGCCTATTTCGCTG